CGGCGGGACCCCCGAGCAGCCCCCCCCCAAGCAGCCCCATGGGGACGGGGTCCCCATTGCCGGCTGCTGCCGTGGGGCCCCCCTGCAGCCTGAGTGGGGCAGGGGCACCCCGTTCAGCCAGCCCCACAGGGATGGGGTCCCCCTTGCCGGGTGCTGCTGTGGGGCTCCCGTGCAGCCCAAGTGGGGCAGAGGTCCCTGCTCCGACCAGCCCCACAGGGGTGGGGTCCCCATTGCCAGGTGCTGCTGTGGGGCCCCCCTGCAGCCCAAGTGGGGCAGGGGCCCCCACTCCAAGCCACCCCACAGGGAAGGGGTCCCACTTGCAAGGTGCTGCCGTGGGGCTCCCCTGCAGCTCCCAGCAAGGGCCCCCGACTCCAACCAGCCCCACAGGGCCCCCCCCGCCTTGTGCCACCCCACGGCCCCCCAGCCCAGCTGGGTCAGGGCCCTTCCCCAGCCCTGGCAGCCCCCCTGGGCCAGGCTCCCCGGGCAGCACTTGTGGGGCAGAGTCCCCGCATCCCTGTAGTGGCTCTGGGGAGGGGGCGCTGCCCCCCAGCAGCCCCCCCAAGGCAGCGTCGCCTCCGCTGGCCGCTGCCTTGTCACCCCCTGCCAGCCCCCCCGGTGCCCCCTGCGCTGGGGATGGCTCCCCCCGGCACCCCGGCCCCCCCACCGACCCCCCAGTGCAGGGGGCTGCAGGGCGGCCGGGGGGGCTGGGCGAGGAGCCCCCGCTGCTCCAGGCTCCCCTGGGCAGCCCCGGCCCCCCAGGCGGGGACGGGGACAGGGACATGGAGCCAGGACGGGGCCAAACGGGGCACAACGGTGCCGGCGCCCAGGAGCTCCACGGCTGGGACCCTGCCGAGGTGGGCACAGGGCAGGGGGCTCGGGAGCCGTGGTGGGGACTCGGGGGCACGGTGGCACTGGGAGGGCCTCGGGGGCATGGTGGCACTGGGGGCTCGCTGGCACTGGGGGCATGGGGGGCACGGTTGGGGGTGAGGCTTTGGGCTGGGGCTGGGCTGGAGGCTGGAGGGAGCTGGCACTGGGGACAAGGGGGTGAGGTGGTGCTGGGGGACACCGGGGGGGCTGGGACATGTGGGGGTGGCGGCYGGGGACATGGGGGTGGGGGCCGTGCCGCGGGCGCTGGGAATGGGGGACAAGCCTGGGGACTGGTTTGAGGCTGGGGCCAGGGGGGCACTCACAGCCCCCTCCCGCAGGAGGAGCAGCCCGGAGACCCCGTCCTGCTGCCACAGCCCCCACTCAAGGGCACCCCAGGTACCTCCCCAGCACCCTGCGCCCGCAGCCAGGACGCCCCAGGGATGGGCTCAGCCCCACAGTCTGCATCTGGGATACCCCATGGATGGGCTCAGCCCCACATCCCACAGCCAGGACACCATGGGGATGGGCTCAGCCCCATACCCTGCAGCCAGGATATCCCATGGATGGGCTCAGCCCCACATCCCACAGCCGGGACGCCCCAGGGATGGGCTCAGCCCTGCAGCCGTGATGCCCCGAGGATGGGCTCAGCCCCACGTCCTGCAGCCAGGATACCCCATGGATGGGCTCAGCCTCACATCTCGCAGCCAGGACACCCTGGGGATGGGCTCAGCCCCACAGCCTGCAGCCAGGACGCCCCAGGGATGGGCTCAGCCCCACATTCCAGAGCAGGATACCCCATGGATGGGTTCCTGGTAGCCCCACAGCCTGCAGCCAGGATACCCCAGGGATGGGCTCAGCCCCACAGCCTGCAGCCGGGACGTCCCATGGATAGGCTCAGCCCCACATTCCACAGCCAGGATACGCCATGGATGGGCTCAGCCCTGCAGCCGGGACGCCCCGGGGATGGGCTCAGCCCCATATCCTGCAGGCGGGATACCCCATGCATGGGCTCAGTCCCGCAGCCAGGACACCACGGGGATGGGCTCGCCCCGGGGAAGGGCTCGCCCCCACTCAGGGCGTCTCGCTGCAGGCTTCGCCCTGCTGCTGTCCCGCGACGCCGGCCACGCGCAGCTGCCGGGCGGCTCCGGTGCCGCTGAGGACGAGGCCGTGTCCCCCCACGCCGTGTAGGGGCCGCCCCCCGTCCCAGCGTCACCGCAGCAGGAGCCGTGGGGCGAGAGCGGCTGCTGCGCCCCACACAGCCGCCCAGCCCCCCCACAGCGACACCTGCCCAGGCCCCCGTGGGACCCCCAGCCACACTCACCTGCGCCGCAATGTCCCCCCAGCGCAGCAGCTTTGGGAAGGAGCCCCGCGCCAGGCAGAGGGCAATGCCCTCTCCCCGCAATTAAACCCAGCAGCTGTTAAATAAACTTTAATGCATATTAATGAGGTGGTAGCTTTGGCTTCCCGGCCCCGGGGGTGGGGCAGGGCTGGTCCCGGGGTCCCGGCCCCCCCAGCTGCAGGGGGCGGCGGAGCCAGGGCCGGTGGCCCCGGGGGTTAGAAATGGTGAAGGAAGCGGGCGGGGGGCGCCGGGCAGCCGCCGTGGGGGTCCCCAGCCCTGCCGCGGGCTGCGGCCGGGGTGGACCCGGCGCCCGCTGTGCGGGGACCCCCAGAACCCGCTGCCGTGGGGCAGACCTGCGCACCCGCCCCGTGCCTGAGCGTGCGGGGGCCTCAGCCCCACAGCCACCCTGGGCGGGGGGCCGCCCCGCTCCCGCTCCCGCTCGGGCACGGGGTCACCGCCCATTCCAGTTTCTCCCCCAGAAGAGAAGCCCTGAGCGCCCAGCCCGGGGGGGCCGGGACCCCCGGAGCCCCCCCACGGGGGCAGCGCCAGCGGCGGGGCGGGCCCGGCTCACGGGCGGG